TTTAAAAGAATGATAGTTATCAAGCGTTGCTGAGATGCGGAAAACCTGAAACCCATACATGGCTGGTACAGTTGCTTTGGGAATTAGCCAGACGGTTTATCATTAGGTGAAACATTCATTTACACGACCCAGCCATCGCACTTACATATACCGGAGAGACATGAGCACAGGTGTCCACACAAATACTTAAACTCAAATGCTCATAGCTACTTTATTGACAATAGCCCCAAAATAGAAACAACCCAAAGGCCTATGAATTGTTGCTTGAGAAACTAATTGTATTGTAGCAATATAACTAAACTATTAAGGAAAAAATGGGAACAAGTTAATAATACATAAAACAACATGCCTTGATCTCAGGCATTAGAGACTAAGTGAAAGAAGTGAGAAATAAAAAATAAAAACAAAATACATAGTGAATGATCCCATCTCCATGAAAGTCTAGAAAAGGCAAAACTAGTGACAGAGAGCAAGTCAGCCCTGGTTACCTGCAGCCAAGGATGGAGAGGAGAGCAAATTTGCCTGCAGAGGCACAAGGAAACTTGGGGTCATTCATGTGTTTTGATCTAGTGATTATGTGATTGTATAGATATTTGAAATTCATTGAATAACATACTTAAGATGGCTAAATTATATTATAGTTTATGTAAATTATACCCAAGCAAGGAAATGCTGCTGTCAATTTAGCTGTTACTCCTTTTAAGATAATCTACCTTTTTTCCTCTGGTAGCTTCTCAAACATTGTTTTTGGGGGGAGTGGGAGTAGGGGGTGTTTAGTGTTTTGCAATTTCATTAAAGAGTCTGTGAATTCATGTTCTTGTCAATTCTGAAAAATTCTCTACCATTATCTCTTCAAATATGGCCTCTTCTTTGTTTGTTTTTATTCCCTTCCTTTGGGACTCTGATTATACTGTTACATTTTCTAGTAATGTTCTTGATGTCTCTTTAACATTTCTTAGATTTTTCATTTCTTTACCTCTCTGTGCTAAATTCTAAGGAATTTTTTAGGTATATATTCCAGTTTAATTCTCATTTCTTTAGCTTATCCTAATCTGCTTTTTTGTCCACATATTTAATCATGTATTTTAAATTTTAGAAGTACTGTTTGGTTCTTCTTAAATGTCTATTCTTTAAAAATAGGATAGTGCTCTTTCTCATATTTTTAATTTTAAAAATATTTAAATATATACAATTTATATTCTATGTTTGATAAATCAGTATCTGAAGTCTTCAGGGTGTAATCCTTCTGTCTATTGTTTGTCCTGACTCATTAATACTGGCTCTTTCTCTGTGAGTTCTGTTCTTTTGGATTCCGAGTTCCTATTGGCTGGGACTTATGTATAGAAAACCTGAAAACTCTGAACTGACATGTTATTCCTGAAGAGTCTTATATTTCCTTCTGGCAGATTCCTGGGGCCGATTAAAGTTAACGCTTAGCTTTCCCAGATCACACAAGTAGCGTGAACTTGAACTCCCATCTGACCTGAGAGCAGGATGTGGATTCTCAAAGGAGATTTTTTTTCTCTTCCAGAGGCCAATTCTAGATAGGCAAGTGTCCTTCTCATTTTCCTATCCTGATGGTAGATTGCTTTTTTCTAGTCCATTCTATAGGTGATGATAAAAGAGATCTAGTTCCAATTTCTGATCTTCCTGAGATCTGAACCCTGGACTGCTGGTGACTTCATGACAATGAAAACCCAGAGGCTTAGAATCCAGAGAGCAGTAAATATCCTCAGGGCAGCCACTACTTTGGACAGTGAGAAATATCAGTGGAATGGCTTGAATAATAAAGAAATAAAGTATTCTAATGAATCGTGAATTATTAATACTATGACCTAAGTTAGGTGTGTGTATGTGTGTAATACTTTGAATATGAATTCATTCCTTTTTGTTGCATCAAGGATTAGTTTGACAATTTTTTATTCAACTGATGACACTCAAAAGATTCAGAGACTTAAAAATAATCATTGTTTTCAAGGTCAAATCAAATTGTAGACAATCATTCTTCATTCCATTTATAAGACTTAGGCAACTTGTCTTGGTAAAGCTAGTACTAAAAATGCCTTTTTATAAACAGGTAGTTAGAGCACCATACAGAACTCATTTTTGACTTTCAAAACCAAAAGTATTTGCAAGCTGCAGATATATACAACCTCGTAGGCTGACACCCCACTTAACTGTTAAATCACCTGAAAGATTATCTTGTCTTTCTTTAATGTGAATTCAGGAGCACAGAGCTATTTAAAATTCCTTCTCTAGAGGAATTCTATTAGAAGTATTATATTTTTTCGGCAGTTCTAAAAGGAACCAGCTCAATATTTTATCATTATATTTTTAAAGCTACGTTGGGTTATTATTATGTTTTTAAGTTATATTGAAACCTGAGAAATAGAATATGGACTGTGTATATGGCATGAGTTTTACCAGGGTTCTACAGCTCAAAGAGTTCTTCCATGCCTGTCTAGTTTCTAGGTAAACCACTGTCTACTCGCATTGCAACATTCAAATATGTAAGTGATTAGTAAGTGAAAACCCAAAGAAAGTAGACTGTGCTTTTACCTACTACTCTGCATATTTAAATATGCACAGATAGTGCTTTCACACATAAGTTTTAGAGTGTCCCAGAAGGGCGTAAGAATAAAAGAAAAAAAAAAAAGATTCATTGTACCATTAAAAATAGTCTGCAGCCACAGCACAACTGTGGGCCAAAGTAATTATTGAAGCATAGCTCAGGTAATTTTAAGAGATTGATGCTGAAAGATAGTGGATGCCGATCACATTCTGAATGATAAAATGAAAGAAAAGAGTGGAAAAGGTGGGCAGTAGCAATAATGACTACCGCTCACCGGGTTCTTACTATACATCAGAGCTGTATTGAGTGCTTTCCTTAAAACAGCCTCAAAAGTAAGAGAATCATTTACCGAGTGTTTAACACATACCCCTTCATCCATAGAACAACTTTTTGCATTAGGTACTATTTGCCCCATTCTACAAATGAGGAAACCGACATTGCGAGTTTCATCAACTTGCCGAAGGGCTTACATAAACTGAAAAGGAAGTGTTAAGTCAGACACAAAAGCCCAAATAGGCTGATTGCAGAGACGAAGCTCTATAGCAACCTTGCCATTTTTTTTGTTTAATCTAACGGCCAACTTTAATCTTTTATGCTGGCTTTATTTCATAATTCTGCTTGAATGATTATTTGAAGAAACAAAGTGGGTAATTGTTTTCTAAGTATTTATCCAAAATAGCCCGTTTAATAAGGCCATGTTTGGACTTATTAGGAGTATGCCTTGCCAAAAATTAAGTAAAAGAAAGGGTCTTCTCTTTGTCATTAATACTTGATGTGGGATATTAGTTCTTAGAAGCAATTTCATGGTAAAAGCAGTAATGATGTCAAGAACTAACTGCCTGATTTTAATTGGAGGACATTTATGTTACAGAGTATGTGATGGTAAGATGTGTTCAACTTGTTTTTGCTTGTCTTGGAAAAGCTGAAACTCTTCTTCCCACTAGTAATTAAAAATAAACAGCAGCCATTAACTTGCTGTTGGCTTCCAACGGCCACAGCGTCACTTCCTTGCATGAATGATTTACTGATCTACAGCAAAGTAATTCGACACTGAAATTGTCTTGAAAATGAAAAACCGTTCCAGAGAATGAATAGCTTCCATTTTGATAGCATCAATATATGTGTAGTTTTCATTTTTTTTATGCGTTCTTCTGCACACATACAACTTGCTCACTGACAAAAAGGGTCTGACAAGGGCTGCCGCTCAAAGAACACTGTGCAAAGCTCAGCTTCCGGGCTTGACTCTAGAGACTTGGGGGCGACATTCATACATTCATTCATTCAACCTTTCAACCAACATTCATTGAGGAGCTTCTTTAGGTCATGTATTTTCCCAAAGGCTTTGGGGAATACAAGAAGAAGAAAAAAACAGTCTCTGCCTCCTAAAGCATTTATTATCATAGAATTGGAAATAATGTTTTATTATAATTCTGTCCGTTTTACTTAACTGGCTGTATCATAATTTATTTAATCAGTTCTATGCTGTTGGATATTTAGGAATATGATTTCTTTTTGTTCTCAAAGGCCTGTGTTGAAACACCCCTGATAATAAATATTTGTTCACATTTCTGATTATGTCTTTGGAATGGATTTCTACCAGTTGAATAACTAGGTCCAAAGCATGAACATTTTAGCCTATTAATAAATATGAAAAAAAAAGAAAGGCCCACCTGGCAAAAAAGGACAAACGTTGTGTATCATTTTACTTTGCCACCATCAGGGGTGAGAGAGCTTTTCCTGATTCCATTTCCTCGCCAGGCTTAAGACAGAATGTTCCACTACGTGTGTATCATTGATCACTGATCTTCAGATAGTCTACAAAATTATTAAAACTTTTCTTTTTTTCAAGAATAATTTATGAAATCAAATAGTGCTGAGCAAAAATTTTCGACTGACATTGATAGTTTATGTTTAATGAGATCATCCAGGATTTTTCTTTCTTATTATCCTGAATTTTAGATTATTAAGAGGTTGTGAAAAGTGATGTCAGGTGGTTTGAGAAGTTTCTTTGACTAAAAAATGAAGATCGCAGTGGACCAAGAGTTGAATATTGACTTAAAAGCAAATGTTAAGGGGGAAAAAAAATAGATCTTGTATTTTGTTAGAACTTACTGAATTTCATTTAAAACAAGCACATTTAAGGATACTGTGAATTAAGTGGTCAAACACGATATTTGGTGCTAATGCATTTTATTGGAACTCAGCATTTCTGCCTACAGAGAACAACAAAAACAAAAAAATAGTGTGGATAGCTTTATAGAATCCTGACCACATCCTACCTAAAAATGTAGTTAGGGTGTAGCCTTGTTTAGCCTGTAATAACCTGTTGTATCCTAGTAACAGCATTTATGCCCTTTCTAATTTCGTGTGCCAAGCTACTTGATCTCTTTTCTGTTCTTATCTCATTGGCTACACCATTTCTTTCTAGAACCATGGGACACAAGAACCGCTATGTCAAAGTACCCCGTGGCCACATCTGGGTTGAAGGCGATCACCATGGGCACAGCTTTGACAGTAATTCTTTTGGGCCGGTAAGTCACCTTGTTGCTGATGTCATTGGATTTCAAAGGTTGGAGCACAGGTATGTCCGATCGTTTGCTTAGTAACCCGGCCAAGACTTACCACGAACATTATGGTGGAATAGTTTATGTTTGAAAATTTCCTGTTAAATATCATCGATAGATATCCAGGTTTACGTGTGTGTGTTTCATAGAGAAGAGCACAGGCACCTTAGTAAAATATGGAAGGATGCTTTCAGCCGACTGGCTGACCCCAATGGAAAGGTCTATTTTCCCCCCAATGAAACATTTTGTACTGTTTTAAGTTAGTGTTTAACTGAAATAATGTATAAAAGACATAGCCATCAATTTTCTACATCGTTCGTTACAAAAATGAGGATCGTGGAAATCATATTGGTAAGTAACATTTTCTCAGCATTTAATTTATAGCAGAAATGCATACGTTCCTTATGTCATGTTTATATTACATAAAATGTGTGACTAAACTGATACTTGATACATTTTTTCATTTTGGATGAGTATAGAAATTCTCTATTTATGTACCTCTGCAATGAATCATTATACAAAGTGCGGAAACTTTTAGTTAATGGAAATTGCACCCAGTGTCTAGTTACCTATGTCTGTTTAAGAACTTGGATCTTCACCTGTTAGATTTTCCTAAAGCTAATACTTAGTACGTATGTATAAGCAAATATTGAACATCTTCAGATATGTTTGCAAAAAAAAAGGAATTATCCACTTAGTTTTGTCTAAAACTGAACATTGGTGGTCTTAAAGAAACCATTTCCTTTACATATTATGGGGAAACCACATCGTTGTCACTAGGGGAGCAGCCATTTTGAGCCTCCTTTGGCCAAAAGTACAATATGAAAGATGAGATTGGTAAATATTATGGATAGGGGGAAGAAAACTTTAGGAGACAACTCCTCCTTTTTTCTAGTTGCAATGATAATAATAGAAAATCTTTAAGATCTTTCTTGCTCTTGAATAGTAATTATTACAAAAATTCAATCTTTGTGGGGTATACTGAGGATGGGATGAACAGATTGGGAATTTCATAGGTCACGTGTGGTCAGTAGGGGTGATCATCACAAATGTAGCAGCAACTTGAAAGTGAAAGTACCGTATTTCCCCATGTATAAGATGCTCCCATGTTTAAGACGCACCTTAATTTTGGGGCCTGAAATTTGAAAAAAATAATGTATTACATAAAGTTATTGAACTCAAGTTTTATTCATCATAAAATTCATACAACTCCTCATCACTGTCAAAATTCCCAACCATTAGCTTGTCCTCACCTGTGTCTGATGACAAATCACTGTCTTCATATATTGCCTCGTGCTCAGTTCCATCTATGTCATTTGAAATCTACGACCACTGTATAAGACACACCCAGTGTTTAGACCCCAAATTTAAAAAAAAAAAGTGCATCTTATACATGGGGAAATACAGTAAGTCACCCAAAAGCAGTTTTATTTCCCATAAATAAGATTTAATCTATTTCATGTATCATGCATTTGGCCAAGTCCACATTAAAATGTTAGTTAACTTTAGTTTGGCTTTTAAGTGGTTAGGATAGTGACGCTGGAATGAAGGATTAAAAAATGTTTTGTTATCAGCTGTGGGGTGTGTGACCAATAATTAGTTACTCATAATAAGCACTGAAGTTGGAGGTTGGTTTGCTTTTCCTTTATTAATAAATTAGAGCCAATGTGCTATTATTTCTATAATTAATATTCTCAGCGAGTTACATTCCACGTGCCTCCTCATAGTGGAGGGACTGCGTTCGTTGCGCGTAATATGCGTCAGTGTCTCTCTGCTGGGCTCTCCTTGGGCTCACGTTCCTGCTGTGTACTTCGCAGGGGCCTTTGGAACCATTGAACTATGAGTTTACCTGTGAAAGTGTCAGGTATGGAAATATCCTGTCATTTACATAGATAAAAAAGAAACTGTGGGAACCACGTGAAGGACAATCTCATTGTGTTTATTACAGTAAGAAACTATAGTAGGCAAACCATTGACAATCATATGTGTGTAGCATTTTAATGCCATTTGGTTGACATCATGTATTTAAATGAAATCTACTTGTGAATTATAACTTGAACCAGTAATATGAGTCGAAGGCACAAGACTGCTTTGAAATTTAGTGATTCATTCCTTCCTGTTTTAATGGATAAATATATTCAGAGTGACTTTTGGCCCATGGGTTGGACAAAGCCATCAATTTCCATTCACAGAAGTAGAGAGAGAGAGAGTGTGTGTGTGTGTGTGTGTGTGTGTGTGTGTGTGTGTGTGTGTGTGTATTTTGATTAATGAATGGTTATCTGAATAATTTGAAAATTATTTTAAAGTTTTTATAATTCTAAAGAATAAAAACAAGTTTTATAATTCATAAGAATTAAAATAATCTGAAATTTTAAAGTGCGTGTACGCTTAAAAATTGTTATATTTTCCCAATAATTTTCAGTTGACATTTTATTTTTGCTTATCAGTAACCTTAGGCCTTTTAGATGGTTGATTCATTTCTCCCCTTGAAAGTAGGGAATGTACTTTTCCTGGATGTAAACAGCCTGTGTAAAGGCAACCAGGGTTGTCTCTCTAGGATGCTTATCTTGACTTTGTAGATATTGATTGAAGCCTTTCCCCTTCATTTTCCTCCCAAATAACATCGGCAGTGTATCCAAATACATTTAACATGCTTTAACTCTTTGAATAGTAATGACACTTCACCCTAGAATCTACCCAGTTTATTTTGAATTGTTACCTACTGGGAATCACAATGGAGCTGGCTTTCCATATTGAAGTAGACCTAGTTGCAACCTGAAGAAGAATAAGCAAAAGAATGTCTCATTCTGTTTTGTTTTGGTTTTTTAGTTTATTTTATTATTTTCTATTTATTTCTTGATATTTGAATTTGCTTTAATAATTTGGCTTATTGCCACTGCATGTAAGCTCTAGAGGGAATTAAATAGTTTTATGACTGAAAGATGAATAATGAAATATGAATTTAAAATAGCAATATTAAGCTGTACTAATAGACCACATTGCAACAGAGCGAGTTCCGAAACCTATGCTTTAACTTGTCTGCATGGTGTGATGGAGAAACTAGTAGACTCTCTTATAAACATAGATGATATGTTATAATGAAAGAGAAAATAAGATAATCTTGCCTATGGGCCTCATCAATCACTCAACATTTCCTCATGCATAAAAGGAAGAGTTTTCTTTTCTCTGAACCCATCGGAAATAAACAATTGATAAAATGAGTGTGTGTGTGTGTGTGTGTGTGTGTGTGTGTGTGTGTGTGAATGCATGAATGTATAGGAAATGTTTCAATTATCCGTATATCTTTATGGTATATCAGTTCTAAACCTCTTGAATATATCTTCATCACACAATGAAAGAATGTGTCCTATCTTCTCATAATATGAATGCACTAATGTATGACATTAGCTTAGATTTTTAGTGTGAAAAATATGTTTTGTAACTTTTCATTAAAATTATAATAATTGTCTAGAAGTGTTCTTCAGTGCCTATTACTGCTTGATTTTACTGGATTATGTATTAGAGATCTCTGATGATGCTGATGTGTAGGTTTCTAATTGCTTGGGATATTTGAAGGGCCCTGCTTTTACTAATTTGTTTTCTCTCTGAAATAAATGAGCACCTTTCCCTTTGCTATCCCCACTTCCATGTAGATAATACTAATACACTTTCTGTTGTAGCTATGTTGTTGTGCTTTGCCAGCACCCAAAAGTAACTGATCACAATAGATCCTGATGAATTTCCTGCTGGTTTTAATTGAGAGCACATAAAAAGCAAATTTTGTATTTGTATGTGTACAAGCATAGCTGTGGATTTGCAAATAGTAATTTTTAACTATTTTAAATTAGCAGACGCTTCAGTTAAAAATGCATGCCACAGTTCTTTCTTCCATTTATTATAAATATTTATTTCAGTACTTATAGTTAAAATGTTCTCATAGATATTCATTCCTTTTGGTAAAAATAGAAATATGCCCCTCTTCATGGCCTCCATTTAGCGCGTATATTTTCTGTCTTTGAAGTTTTTTTCCATTGTTTTTATCTAGCTTTAAGTCATGAGTCACTAAGATACTTTCACTGTTTGTTGTGTACTGATTTGTTGTAAGGAATAGATGTTATCATAGAAAGCCTAGTTAATTTAGTATCTAAAATAGTATATTTTAATTTCACTGATCAAAGGACATTAGTAAAAAACAAAACAAAACAAAAAAAACAACCAACTCTTGCCTCAAACATTTCAAGGCAAAGATAGCCTTTCCAAGATGCCTAAAAGTATTTTGAGTTGTAGGTTCACAATCATAGTGTCATCTCATGAACAATTTGTGTGCAAAAACTGCTCATGGTGGCTGCATCTGTCTGAGAATGGAAACTGAAGTTATACTAAATATGAATTCTTTTTAGTTCCAAGTCAGTTGGAAAAGATCTAATCTAATCAGTTATTTCATGGATACCCAATTAACTGAAATATTAGTCCCCTAGAATGTTTTCTTGAAGGATAAGTGCCTAATAAGAAATGATAGTTTTAGATTAAATGACTTAGAAATATTATTCATAATTAAATGAGCTGATGATCTGAAAGTGATGATATACAGGAAAACACTGAAATGAAGGTTAAAATTCCATAGTATTCCTTTTGAACTTAATAAAGTTCAAAATGTTTGTCATTTTAAAAAAAAGTAGTGAGAAAGTAGAGGAAAAATAAAGTCCATGTTTTCATATCATGCAAGCCTTTTATTGATGTCTTCAAGACAGTTTTTAGCATTTTCTGTTTTTCCAGATTGATTTTGGCTTGGATTCTGATGGGTGGAATGGATCAGGATGGACAAGGATTGTGTTAACTAGAGAGGTTACCGAATTACATAATACAGGTGGGAAGTGAACATTTTAGGAGGTTTACTGTCTAGTCATGCCTGCTCTTAAATTTGTCCCTACTTTATGTGTTTTTGGTAAAAAAGAAATAGGGTATGT